GCTGGTGGTCGGCCTGCTCCGTCTCTGCCGCTTGCCAGCTACGCCTCGGCCGGCGCAGGGGGCGGAACCACGCATGCGCGGCGCTCCCGGGCAGGGAAAGTCCTCGACTTACGACCGGTTGGGTAGTCCTCGACTTACGACCGGTTTAGTCCTCGACTTACGACCGGTTTAGTCCTCGACTTACAACCGGTTTAGTCCTTGACTTACGACCGGTTGGGGTCACAGCATTAAAAAGGTTGAGAACCCCTGGCCTATACCATTTCAGACAAGTGGCTGTCCAGTCTCTTTAAAAGCCTCCGGTGATGGAGCACCCACAACTTCCGGAGGCAAGACGTTCCACTGGTTAATTCTTCTGTCAGGAAATTTCTCCTTAGTTCGAGGTTGCTTCTCTCTTTGGTTAGTTTCCATCCGTTGCTTCTTGTCCTGCCTTCAGGCGCTTTGGAGAATAGCTCGACTCCCTCCTCCCTCAAATACTGGAATACTGCTAACAGTTCACCCCTAGTCCTCACTAGACAAGGCACCCCCCCTCGCATTTGGGGCCCTCGGACAGCTAGCCGCGCAGAGGCCAGAAGGGCCGGGCCACCCCCCCCCCCGCCTGGGCTCACCTTGAAGCTGACGTACTGCAGGTGTCCGGCGTGGCGCTTGAGGATCTGCTTGATGAGCTCCGGGTGGGTGGCTGCGACGCCGGGCTGGCCCAGCTCGAACTCGAAGCGGCGCCACAGCTCCGGCAGGTGGAAGGCTCGTTGCCAGCCGCGGCAAACCTGCGAGGCGCGCGCGCGGTCCAGCAACGGCAGGTGCTGGAAGACGCGCAGCAGCACCTCCGGCAGCAGCGAGGCCCAGTCCAGCCCGGGCAGCTCCCGTCGCTTGCCTCCGCCTTCGGGGTCGGCCGCTCGCCTCGCCGTCCGCTTCGTGCTCCCGGGGTCGTCTCGGCGGCGGCGGCCTGAGGAAAGGCCTCCAACGCCGCCGCTCCTTTCCCTAGTCGCCATGGCAACACCTCCCCCCCACTCACCCCGCTGCCAGCCCTACCCCGGGCGCCACGGCTTCGGCTGCCTCCTTCTCCCCCAGCGCCCCATGAAGGAGGGGAAGGACGCGTCCGTCTCAACGAGGCCGCCGCTTGCCACGAGTTTTCCCCCCCAGCCCCCCCCCTCCGACCGCACTCGCCGCCTTGTTTACTTCGCGCCGGTCAAGATGGCGGAAGGCGGCGCGGCGCATGCGCAGTCCACCCCTCTCCCTCTGCCCCCGGCAAAAATTCTCCTCAGGAGTCTTAAGTAGGAAAAGGCCCCGCGTGGCTTTATTGAGGCTACATTCCCTTGGGCGACGCTGCTGGGCGGGGGAGGCGCCTTCGGAAGTGCACTTCGGCCGGACGGCGCCCCCCGGAGCCCCAGCGGGGAGGAAAGGAAGCCCGCCGTTTACAATCCAGGACTTCGAGGCGGGACAGACATTGACACGGCGCACATATATATATATATGCATATAATACATATACATATATAGATCTACACAGCGCGACCCAGAGTGGTTGACATCGAGGGCTGCGGCTGAGCCCGAACGGGGGGGGGAGGGAGGGGGGATCCCGCCGCTGCCTGGCCTCCCGCCCTAGTCCTGCCCGCGGCAGCCACTGTCCGGCATTCAGGAGGAGGAGGAGGAGGAGGAGGAGGAGAAACGGGCGAAGTCAGCGGCCTCCGGAGCGCCTGCTCGGCCAGGCCCCCGGGGGCGATGCGCATCGTTAGCCGCATGCAAGCGCCTCAGAGGCTGAGCTCGGGGGCGCGGCAGGCCCCGGCGCCGTGCTGGCCAAATGGTCCCGGCCTGGTTTCCGTCGGTCCGCGGCGGCTAGAAGGTGTGCGCGTTTCTGCAGACGCCGCAGCCCAGCGCGAACTCCTCGCCGGTGGGCGGGTGGACGACGTGGAGCGGACACTCGGCGCCTTCCAGCTGCTTGCTCTTGGGACCTGAGAGGGAGAAGGGGAGAGAGGGAGGCCAAGCCGGCCGTCAACGGGGCTTCCTTCCCGTCTGGGCTGTCCCCCCGTCGGCTTCCCTCCCCGGGCCCGACCCAGCTGCATCGCCAGGAAGAGACGTATTAGGAGGGTTTCCTGGACCTCTAAGGAGGAGGATCTTTATGAAAAGTTAAATTATTATTTAGGTTCGTTATGTATAACGTTTTTTTTAAAAAAATATTTTATTTATTTATAATTTGTATTGGTATATCCAAATATAATCTTGTATAATGTCTTTATAATATAATGAAAATAATATGATTATTAATAACCATCCATAATTATTACGATTACAAGCTGCCCGGAGTTACCTGGTGGTAAAATGGGAGGCCAATACATTTTATAGATTATAATATTTTTCTAAATATTTTTATTTATAATTTGTATTGGTATATCCAAATATAATCTGTATAATGTCTTTATAATATAATGAAAATAATATGATTATTAATAACCATCCATAATTATTACGATTACAAGCTGCCCGGAGTTACCTGGTGGTAAAATGGGAAGCCAATACATTTTATAGATTATAATATTTTTCTAAATATTTTTATTTATAGTTTGTATTGGTATATCCAAATATAATTTGTGTAATGTACTTATAATATAATGAAAACAATATAATGATTAATAACCATCCATAATTATTATGATTACAAGCTGCCCAGAGTTAATCTGGTGGTAAAATGGGTGACCAATAAACTTTATAAATTATTATTTAGGTTTGTTATTTAGAATGTTTTTTAAAAAAATATTTTTATTTATAATTTGTATATCCAAATATAATTTGTATAATGTACTTACAATTTTATAATATAATGAAAATAATATAATTATTAATTATACGTAATTAGGATTATAAACTGCCCAGAATTACCTGGTGGTAAAATGGGTGGCCAATCAACTTTATAAATAATAATAAAAATAAAGGGCTTCTATGCACTTCGGTCTTGTGAGCCTAATTTTGGGGTTATTTTGGGGTCATAATACAGGTGGTAGTTTCTAAATTTTCTTGCATCTTCTTAAACAGATGACTTTTCTTGCCCTCCTCCTTTATTTAGTATCTTTTTAGTTCCTAAGACCTTTGCTCTTTTCTTTTTTTACTCCAGATGGAGAAAAGGACTAGACCAGGGGTAGTCAACCTTGGCTCTTTTATGACTCGTGGACTTCAACTCCCAGAATTCCTGAGTCAGCTATGCTGACTCAGGAATTCTGGGAGTTGAAGTCCACGAGTCATAAAAGAGCCAAGGTTGACTACCCCTGGACTAGACTTAGTTCTTTAGTGACCATTTGAAGTTGCAATGGCACTGAAAAAAGTGACTTATGACTGTTTTTCAAACAACTGTTTGGGCATCCCCATGGTCACATGATCAAAATTCAGATTGACTCATATTTATGATTGTTGCCGTGTCCTGGTGGTCATTTGATCACCTTTTGCAACCTCCTGACAAGCAAAGTCAATGGGGAAGCCAGATTCACTTAGCAACCGTTTTACTAAACAACTGCACTGATTCACTTAACTGTGGCAAATGGGGCATAACTCAACAAATGTCTCACTTAGCAATAGAATTTGTGGTCTGCCTGGGATTTAATCACGTTTTTTTCCCTAGTTCTATTTGGCCTGGTGTAGTTTTACCATGCAGATTACAAAAATGAGCCCTTTAATGCCATGGTACACAGTTAGACCATTGCAACTGACTTTGTTTCATAAGCCTATTAATATTTTTTCTTCTCACAATGTATGCAATTTCACATGCACAGCTGAATGTAACTGATCTACTGTGACCTACACTGGAAATTCTTAGGCAAAACTAATCTAAGTTTATTTTAAGGCTTCCAAACCCCATCTGGAAGAACACCACTGCAATTGACAGTGGTCAAAGACAACTCACAAACTACCCAGAAATATAATTTAATGACACTTTAAATCATTACCTGCAGGGCAGTGAGGAAGCTCCTCTTTCGAAATACTTGTCATTCGCTGGAAGTCGTCGTGACAAGCATTGCAAAAATGGGTGGTCCCGAAACAAAAGAAAACAGCCACCGAACAACAGTAGCGGCATTTGTACTCTAGAAAATCTGTACCATGTTTGGGACACATCTGTGGAGGGGAAAAGGATAAAAAAACCACAGCTTAAGCTGAAGAGCGTGAACGCTGACTCTTCTTATTTAAGATATATGAAGATGCATGATCTATTGCAGGGATCTCCAACTTTGACAACTGCTGAGCTGTCTTGATTCTGGGAGTTGAGGTCCACAAGCCTTAAAATTGCCAAGGTTGGATGGAGACCCCTGATTTATTGAACATGTCACTGAAATGGCAGAAGGAAAAAGCTTCGCTACCTGAGCTCTCGATACATCAGAGCAGGCGCCGCAGATGAGCTCCCGGGGGTCGTAATCGTCTCCTTGTCCAGCTTCAGCATCACAACGGGCTTCTCCACCAAAATAAGCCTGGAGGAGGAAACCAAGAAGAAAAGCTGAGCACCACTGCACCAACTTCCAGAAAACGGGGAGTCCGTGAAATAGTTAACAGGCCTCCAATGACATCTTAATTACACTATTTTGGGTTTCCAGCTATTATCTGCTTTAAGGGGGGGGAAGCAAGGGGAGTATGAATGAAGGATTTTCATTAGTATCCAGTACAAAAACATTTTTTTTGTTTCAAAACTCCACTTTGAATGGATCTATTATGAAATTGGGTCAGTAATGAACTATAAAGGTGTCATGGCTTTTGAAGGAAATGCTTTCAACACAGAGTAATGGGAAGTTATACCTATTACATGTGAAACATGTGAATCAAATAATAGAAAGGGCATTAGGATGTATCCATTTGAAAGATGTTCTAATTCCAAATGTATTCCAACTATGTGTGACTCTAACAGCAAAGCTTCTGGGAGTAGCTGTGATGAACCACCTTAAAGACTGTTAAAGGAGGGACTTGGTTAGGCTAAGCTGCTAGGGCAGGTGGAAGCACCTGGAGAAAAGAAGAAAAGAGCAAAGGTCTTAGGAACTGAAAAGATACTGAATAAAGGAAGAGGGGAAGAAAGGCCATTTTGTAAGAAGATGCAAGAAAATTTAGAAAGTAAAGAGAGGAAAGGGAAAAAGTGGTTCTTGAAAGCAAGAGTCTGTAAACTGAAAGTTGAGAAATAAGTCACCCCCACTTTGGTTGTTAGCTATCTAGCCCAGTGGTGGTGAACTTATGGCATAGGTGCCAGAGGTGGCACTCGGAGCCCTCTCTGTGGGCACATGTGCCGTTTCCCCAGCCTTGCCTCCCCCCGCGACTCCCTCCTCTCCAGCAACCCCCCTGGAGGAGAGTCGCCCCCGAGCATGGCCCACACGGAGCAGCGCAGCCAAGGACATGGCAGCCAGGCAGCGTAGACAAGACTCTGCCCTCACGCCCCAACGTGCACAGTTGATGCTGCGGGGTGCGGGCAAAGGGTGTGGCCGCCATGGCACTGCTGAGCTGCCTGGGTGATCGGCGGGCCCTGGAGGCGGTGAGTGGCCCTGCGGGCAGGCAGGGTGGGGCGGAGTGGGGGCGTGGCAGGAGGTGGGGCGGGGCGGGGCAGGTGGTGGGGCAGGGGCGGGGCCAGTTTTTGGGCACTCGGTCTCTAAAAGGTTCACCATCACTGATCTAGCCTGAGCATCACTACCAAAACACTGATAGTTCAACTCTCCTTCAATTTTCGTGAGATAGCTGGATTGAAAAAATAGCTGGTATAAAAACACAATAGCGGAATTATGATTTTTTTTTTAAATATACTTGTGGTCAAGTATAACTTGCTTGGAGCAATCCTAGTGTTATCATCTAAAAATATGTGGCTCAATATATAGTCAGGAAATGGCATGTCCCTATTTATCAGTCACGTTGAAACACACATCTCACGTCCGCCATCTGAATCTGGATCATACCTTCTTGCATTTGTAGCAAACATAATATGCGTATCTGTTCATGGCAAAGCCAGCAGGGTCATTATAAAACCGAACTCCAGGTG